AGAGAGAGAGAGAGAGGAGAGTGACCATAGTCACTAGAAAAAATGAGAAAGAATAGGTAGAAATGTAACAGTGTGTCTGTTTTAAGGAAATCTCTCTTTTAGGAATAAAATAAAATAATAAACACTCAAGGTAACAGACAAACTTACTATGAAACCCAATAAAGATTAATTTATTGATTGTTGGGGTGAAAACTCTGCTATGGGATATTTTGATAGAGCCCGAGGCTTTGTGTAAACCCAAGGCTCATTAAGGACTGAATTCCCTGCAAGACAGAGGGACAGCCCATTGGAGGCTTAGGATATGAGCTTTTGTAGACTCATTCTCCCCCATGCCCCTATAGATTTTCCAATCATCTGGGAGGAAGGCCCTCTAGCTATTCTATTAATGGTAGAACACTATAAATAAATGGCCTTCCTAGCTGTTTAGTCACCTGGGACAATGCCACTCAGCACGGTGGCCAGTTCTTGTCTAGATGTCCCAACCTAAATGTGGTGGGGAAAGAAAAATACAGAGAGCAGTAGCGACACATGAAAATTTATGGGCAGTATTATCATGTCTTCCTAAAAATGAGATGATGCAACCATTTAAGATGTTTCTGTGCTTGTACTCCAACTCCAGAAGATAGTCTTTCCCCAGGATATAAAGTCATTGAAGATAAATTAAATTATTCTAATGTTTGCTTGCTCCATTACTTCACCTGTATGCCAACAGATACACATAGACTGATATAGCATAATATTTAATATTTGAAAGCATCATAAGAATAGATAATAATTACACCTGAGTTTTTAAAAGAACAAATTCAAACTGAACATTATCAATAGTCTCAAAGGCTGTGACCAGCCAGATGTGAAAAGGACACAAGCTCTCTCATGGACACCCAGGTGGACAATGTCTTTTGGGAACCACGGACTTCTTCTCTGCTGCCGCCATCACCCCCGGAACAGGCCTTTCTTTTTCCTATCACGGTCATGATATAGCAGAGTTTAAGAGAATTATACAGCGGCTCAAGCATAGCTTAATATATGTTTACATCTTTTCAAACAAAACAAATGAACTGAAAAATACATCCCCATCTCTCCAACAGGAACTGGAACCAATACACATACAGAGTATTGCACCTGGACATTATTATAATTATTCTTTCATAGACTAAAGTTTTATAATATGCCTAGACATGCAGCAGTTGATACCTTTATAGTCAATGAATTAATTCCACAGGCCTTGCAGCAAACACTATGTACAAAAATCTCACCTGTACAAAAGGCAAAAAGCTTTATTGGGGCTCCTTTGCCACTCACAAGTATATATATATATATATGTATATATTTATATATATATATGTATATGTATATGGGGAAGCAGCTGGGGAATCCACGTACAATACTTAGCATGGATTCTGTTTGCTGCATGAAGGATTCAGTAAAATAGATAATCAAATGACCTCTGCGCTCAAAGTACACAAAATCACAGGGGGATGAATACCTGGAAATCAAAGTCCATAACACTGTTAGCATATCTACAGGCGGTAACTTCACAGTCATTTCGCGGCATTCGCATAAGTTACCATTTCATACCGCCACATGCGTGCACCCCGCCAAATGGTCATTATTCACATATGTTGACCTTCTGCCATGTTTGGCTTTCTCCTGCTTCTTCCCAAAGCAGAGGTTTTAGATTCAGTTTTATACAGTTAATTAAAAACACACACATACACACACAACACGACATAGTAGTACTATGATTTTATAAAAGTGTGCAAAAGTAACACACTGCAGTGAAAAATAAATATAAATAGTTGATGCAGGATCATTAGGACCAAAAACCAGGAACAGAATTTTGGAACTGAGCTTTCCCTAGATCACCAGTATTTTTGGCTCTCGCTCCAATGGCACATGTGTTCAGGCAGAATCTCACTAGATGGGAGAAGTGTTGCATGTTCATCTGTCTATAAACACATGGAAGCCCCTGTGAAGAGCCCTCTCTACTAAAGCTATAATGTTTTGTATTGACTTTGGATAATTTGGTTTTCATTGCATTTTAGCCCTTTAATAGCTATTGACACGATATCAAGGTTTTTTATCTTCAGCCAGTTTGATTTTCTTCAAATGTTCTACTAATTCCAAATGCAATTTAATGGGAAATCAAATCAACATTAAAAAATTAATAGTGATTCCTTTCTTGAGATACAAGTTTATGAGAAGTGAGATTTGCCATCTCTCCATTGCCAAAAATGTTGTTAATTTCTTCTTCTTCTTCTTCCTCTTCCTCCTCCTCCTCCTTCTATTTCCACTCCCTCTGTTTCTCCTCCTCCTCCTTCCTTTTTCCTGTCCAGTAAAAAGGATGAAATTTGCATCCTTGACGAGTAACGCCTAGGAGTAAAACCAGACTTGCACATGGTAAAAAATATAGCAGTGTGTTACATCTACAATTTCTGGGACAAAGTGATTTTGTGTTCCTTGGTGAAACAGAACTTAAGAATGCCTTTGGGTCACAAGGTAGCAGATGGGCTAGGTCGAGCCCAAGGGAGATAGGAGCGGGAATGCAATAAATAGAGTTGTAAGTGAGGGTGTGGGCTCTCGGCAGATATAGTTCGCGAATTACTGAATCTCAGGAAATTTGACTTTCATGGAAACCCTTCCTGCAGTCTCCCGAATCATGTATCCTGGGGCAGCTTCTTAAGGGAGCAGCTCATCTCCAAAATAGGAGAACCCCTTAAATTCCTCTTGGTTGATCTGCTTCACAATGGCTTCATCAACGAGTGTGAGAACTGGTTCTTCCCGGGTAAAGTCTTGATCAAAGTTATTGACATCTCTTTTGGTTTTCTGCAGGGGAAAAAACAAAAGGAGAGGAGTTGAGTTTGGCCTGACCTTCCAACCCAGGGATCTCTATAAGGAGGGATTGTACTTGATCAAAAGCCTCTCGCTATTGCTGAGTAAGGAGTAATCAACCTTTGAGGCTACTGTCACTCAGGTAATTAATAACTACTATTTATATAACGCCTTAAGGTTTACAAAGCCTTTTACAAATATTGTCTCACCTATCCTTCCTATCCTGTGAAGTGGATGCTATCCCCATTTTACAGCTGAGGAAACTAAGGCAGAGATTAAGTGACTTGTCCAGGGTTACATAGTAAGTGTCTGGGGCCATTTTTGAACTTGGGTTTCTTGATTCCAAGCACAGCACTCTATTCACTATACCACTTAGGCGGCAATGGGGACAAGGGAAAGCAGCCGGGAGGAATGGAGAAGGAGGATGGGTTTAAGAAATATCTGGATCTGTTTCTGATGGAGAAGGTAGAAGAGGAGGGGGTGATTAGGAAAAATGGAAAAATGGGTAAGTGGATTACAATATATTATATACTCTTTGGAGGGTGGAAAGGAGGTGAGGTGATCCATGGTCAGATAGATTGGGTCAAACATTCTAGCTGCTCAGTAATCTGTCTCTCATTCCTTTGGAATGCTCTGCTATCTTGCCTCCTATGATGATTGGGAGACCTGCCTCTCCTGCCTTCCATTATACAGATAGATAAATTTATTGGGCTTGGCTATAGGCATAAGATCCCCTTCTGTCCCCAGATGAGGCCCAGGAAAGATTTTGACAGTCCAACAAGGCATTCTCACCAAACAATGGGGAATGGATGAGCCAGGCAGTGTCATAAATTAGAGACACTGCATATCTGTTAGAAGAATACCGCGTTACTGATTAATGTTGAAAAGCTCATCTATTATAAAGACCATCATGTTATTGCTCCATAATCTTTAGCACAGTTGGTGGGGTTCACAAGATGCATTGAGCCAACGTTTTGACACAAGCAGCCTTTGACCATGAGCTTTCATCCTGTTCTACTGATTATACTATTTTAAACTGTTCCCTGCCTGGTGTAATCCTCAGCACAGAGGAAGGAGTGTCTGAAATCATCAACATCCTTTGGTTGGTTTTTCATGTCTAGCTGACAGAAGGAAAAGAACATTTGCCAGCAAATCAGGAGACCTGGGTTCTAGACCCAGCTCTTCTGGGAAAATAATTTCTTCTCTGGGACTCAGTTTCTTCATCTGTAAAATGAGGGGGTTGCACTACATGATCTCTGACATCCTATTCAGCTCTGATTCTACCATTCACTAACATGCTATATCAATGACACCAAGCCCCTGTATAGCCCTGGAATTTAACTTGTTAAGAAAACACAATGAACCTACTTCCAAAGACAGATTATGGTAAATAATGAACATTTTGATGATGAAATGTTTAGTTTCTTTGAAGCTTTTGCTGGAGGCACAGCAATAGAGCCCATGGTTTTCCTGTAATATCACAATGTACCTAAACTCAAAATTTTGTTATCAAAATAATTTTTGTAAAAGTTGTCTGTTTTTTAATGTAATTTGTGATAATAAATGCAATCTTTATTTTAGAATAAAAAAAAGATGTAGCATTGATGGAGGCGGGGGGGGAATCCAAGCCTGAGAAGAGAGCTCTATAGATCACTGCCAGCCTGGTAGACCAGGCATATAGTAATTCTGAAGTCCTGGGCAGAGAATCTTGACATCTGGGTTTTCCAGGTTCTGACGCTAAATAGCAGTGTGACTTTGGCCATATTACTTCATGTCTCTTTGCCCCTTGTTTCCTCAACTATAAACTGAGGATAATGAACGTCAATAAGTCAAAGGTCATTTCTTGAGTACCTACTGTGTGTAAGGTACTGCACAAGACACTGGAGATAGAAAGATATCTACAACATAGACTCTTTTGTCAAAGAACTTATCTTCTAATGGGAGAAAAGACTTGTAAACACATAACTATGATACAAGGGAGAGAGTGGGATGATGATCTTCAGGTTTCCTCTAACACTCTCTGATTCCCTGGTAACACAGCATTAGGTGCTATAGAAGACACACAAAAGAATTCATGAGCCTTGGTTGTCCTCAGAGAGTTAAGCCTCCTTAGGGAAATATAGTGGATGTATGTGAAAAGAGATCTCAAAACATAAGGCAGTATCACCAAGAAGGCAACATGAGACGGAACATGGTGGTTAATGAGCTGCCCACAGAGTCAGGAAGATCTGTATTCAAGGTCTGCTTCAGATACACACTGGCTTTGTGAGCCAGGAAAGTCACTTAATCTTTCAGTGTAGACAGGGATAACCTTCTAACATTCCAATACAGCAGGTGTTCACTCGTATTGAGTTGAGGTATTTTCCTCAGAGACGACTCCCAACACCGATGGAAACAAACAAACAAAAAAAAGGTACTGAGTACTAGGTGAGCAGAATCCTTATTAAGTGCCACCCAAGAATTCTGGGATGGGAGACATCAACATTCGCCGAACTGGGGAAGATGCAGGAGTGTGTTGGTAAACTCTCCAAAAAAAAAGTGTGTGTATATGCATACGTGTATATACATACATATATATAAGTGTGTATACACACACACTTATATGTATATATACAAAACTAATATATAAACTAAATAAAACTAATGTTTATATGTATATATACAAAACTAATATATAAACTAAATAAAACTAATATGTTTATATATACACAATAAACTTATTAGTTTTATCTGCATTATTAACATTCTTCTATTCCTTTCTTAAGTCTAGACAAGCAATAAAACAAAACAAAACCAAAAAATCAAGCCTCTATTTGTAGCTTTTGCCAAGTTCCAAGGTATAAATGCTTATATTGAAAATTTAACAATTGGCACTCCTGAATTGGATCTAATTGGCTCCAGAACACCTCTGCAAAGGGGGTACTTGAGCTGGTTCTTCTAGGATACAAGGATGTTCTAGCTCTGGGGTGGGGAACCTGCAGCCTCAAGGGCACATGTGGCCCTCTAGGTCCTCAAGTGCATCCCTTTGACTGAATCCAAATTTCACAGAACAAATTCTATCTGTTTCCCACCCCTGTTCTAGGTGGACAAAACACCATGAACAAAGGTAGGAATACCAAGGGTATTTACCGGAGACAATGAGGAGAGCAGTCTAGATGGAGCAAAAAGTACAGGGAATAGGTTTGTGGGAGGTCAGAAAGGTAGGTCACAAGCTTCATGAGGGCTTCTATCTCTTTGTTTAAATTCTCTATCTTTTCTAGGGCCTAACACAGCACTCTGCACGTGATAAGAACTTACCTTTTGTTATGAATGAATGCATGTATACATGCATGAATGAATAGGCTGAGGCCAGATTGTGGGAGTCTTTGAATGCCAGGGCAAAGAATTACAGTCCAGGTGAAATAGTGTATTCCTATGGTAGCTAGAAAAGAATTGAGCTCACAGTAGTTGTGCAAGGATCAGTGACTTGGAACGGGTGTAGATGGGTCAGAATTTCAAGTAATTTTGGAATGCTAAAGAATAAATCAGCAAAAAGATCACGCTAAATTCAGCCAGAAGTTCAGGGCAACATTTCATACCAACACAAGGCGGGGAAGGGCTATACAATGCTACACAATCACTACAGGGAAAAAAAAAAAGATCTATGGGTCAGAGTGGAGAGCAAGTTGACCAGCAGCCTGTCCAAAAAAGACTTTGGTTTTTTAAAATTTTATTTAAAGCATGAGACTGATATGCAGACTTGGGGAAATAATGTGAAGTAGTGCAAGTTATCCTTCCAACTTTTAAGGACTGGTCAGTTGAGAGAGCAGTCAGACAAGAAAAAGCCTAAGTAAACAACTGATAAACAAAATGTATGAGAAAAGGCTAAAAGAACTGGTATTATTTTAGCTTTAAAAAGAGAAATCTTAGTAAGCAAAGACTGTAAGAAGGACTTACAGACTTAGCAGATGGTAAGCAGCTGTTTGGTGTAGTGAGTGCAAGACCTCTGGATCTTGAATAAGAACACCTGGGCTTAGTTTCTACCTAAGACACTTACTAATCAGGTGATTTCAGGCAACTCAATCTACCTCTAACAGACTTAGTTTCCTCAGGTGTACTATGAGGATGGTCATACTCATACTACCTACCTAATGGGGCTGTTGTGAAGAAGACACATTTTAAACCTTAAAGGTGTGTGTGTGTGTGTGTGTGTGTGTGTGTGTGTGTGTGTGTGAAAAGCTAATATTTATTACCAGTTCTTTTCCACCTCTAAGGATAATAGGAAAAGGGCATAAATGATTACATGAAGGCTTTCTGCTACATAGAACAAATAGCTTCATGATGGTGATGGGTACTAGACTGGGGCCAAGTGATGGAGAAAAAACTGGGGAATCTCTGAGGCTCTTTACTAGGATTCCTAGTCTAAGATGGGTTAAGTGGGACTGCTGCATCTTCAAAGAATGACCCTCTTTGGTTTCATGGCCAAAAGTTTGGGGGCTATTTGGGGCTGAATTAGATGGATACTATAGTATCCATCTAATAATCTAACAGGAGAAAAGACATATAAACAAGTAAGTATGATAAAAGGGAGAGTGGGGTAAGTAGAAAAGAAGTGGTGTCAGGCAAATGATCTTGTAAGTTTTCTCTAACAGTCTGACTCCCTGGTTACATAGTGTTTCCAGGTACTACAGGAAATTCACAGAGGCATCATTCATGGGCCCTGCCCTCAAAGAGCTCAGTCTACTTTTTGGAAATATAACATGTAAATGAAAAGAGAACTCAAAATATAAGGCAGTATTGCCAAGTAAGTGAAAGTATTTTCTACCTCCTCAGGTTTTCCTAGACCACTCCAGATTTCCTCTTTGCCCCTATCACTTTCTACCTTACATCATAATTATCTCTAGACACTCTATATTCCTGATGGTAGGATGTATACTGTTTGATAGCAGGAAGTGCATCATTTTGAAGAATCGTCATCTCTTCACTACTTAGAGCTCTGCAGTTTGCATGTAATAAATGATTAATAAATATTGGCTTACATGATAACAATAGTAACAATAGCTAGCATTTACCTGGTGTTTTAAGGTTTGCAAAACACTTTATGAATATTAGCTCACTTTATCCTCACAACAACCCTCGGAGGTAAATGTTATTGTTGTTTCCATTTTACAGATGAGGCAGGTAGTGGTTAAGTGACTTACACAGGGTCACATGATTAATAAGCGTCTAAGTCTGAATCTGAACTCACGACTTCCTGATTCCAAGTCCATTGTCCTTCCCTTTGAGCCACAAATCCACCTAGGTGAATGAATGAGTAAATGGGCACCCCGAGGGTCTTAGGAGAGGGATGCAGAAACAGAAATGGAAGGCTGCCAAGGACAAACCCATTTACTTTGGTTTTTTTTGAGGCTAGCCTTCTTTACAAAGAATCTTCAACTTCAGTTCCCATGACCTTGTCATTCCTGGCTGCCTACAAAACTGGCTGTTAATAGGGGGTGAGTGGGAAGAACATTAGCAAACCTCTAAGTAATGTTCTGTTTGCATTCACTGTTTAACTAACAGGTTATGCCTTGATTATAGGCCATTAGGAAAGGAAACCATGTTTTAATATCCAGAAGTACATTGGAATTTCACAGCTCATTCATCTGAAGCTAAAGAGCCAAGTTCCATCAGCACTTAAAAATGGAAACACCTACAGTCAAATGACTATGCACAATGACAATGAACTTAGACTTTGTCTTTGGAATCAAAGAATGCACAAAGGGAAATGTCATGAATTTGGGAACTGTTACTAGCACGCTTTCCCACCTGCACCCGAGATGTCCAATAAGTTTGGAATGTCTTCCATTTCTCTGTCCACCTATTGAATCCTTAACCAACTTTTAAAGCCCCCAATGACACTGCTGCCTATTGAGGAAGCTTTCTCTGATTCCTCTTCCATCTTTTCTCAGCTCCAATCCACTACAACCCCTCTCGGTTTGCAGAAGACCAGGGATTAAATTCTGGCTCCAGCCTTTTACTTTCTAGATGACCTCAGGCAAGCCACTGAAATTCCCTGTGCCTCTATTTCCTCATTTATAAAGCTAGGATAACAATTCTTGCTTTATTCACTTCATGGGGTATGGTGAGAACCAGATGGCATAACAGGTAAATTACTCTGTATACCACAAAGTATTATATAAATGTCAGCTATTGTCATATTCATTTCCCTTATGTACTTCTCATACAGGGTTGTATGTTTTAGTTATTTATATTTGTATCTTATCCCCACCCCCACTAGACCATAAGTTCTGAGAGGTCAAGGGCTATCATCACCCAGTAGAGTACTTCTTACACAGTAGGTACTTAATAAATATACATTGAGTTGAATTAAAAAGGAAGTAGCAGGACATAGTGGGAAGAGGGTCCTGGAGTCAGAGGACCTGGGTCTGAATACTGGTTCTGTACCTTACAACTTGTATAATCCTGAGTCAGGCCCTGAGCAAGTCACTGAATTTCTGTCTGCCTCAGTTTCCTCAACTGTAAAATGAGGAATAACATTAGCAGCTACCTCTCAAGGTTGTTGTGAGGATCAAATGAGATATTAACAAAGCACTTAGCACAATGCCTGACACATAGTAGGCACTTAAAAAATCCATCCTTTCTTCCTTCCTCCCTCTCTCCCTTCCTTCCTTCTTCATTTCCTTCCTTCCTTCCCTCTTTCTTTTCCTATATAAACTGAGGAGTTTAGGCTGTGATTCCATGATAAGACACCATTAGACCTTAAAAGGAGCTAATAACATAGATAGGGGGATCACTAAAGCATATGGTAACCAACAATACAATACACTATTTAATACTGTCGTGCCTCCCTCCTTTCCTTTCCTCCTCCTCCAACCCCTGTCCCTAAATCTGGCTTGTATAAATCTTGAGTGCAGTCATCAAGGAACCATGACCACCTCCATACTCCAGTTAAGTATTAAAATAGAAATTTTACAGAAGGCTGGGATGATAAAATGAAACAATTTGACTTGATCAGAAAATCCTGGAAGTGTTCCCTGATCTGGGTCCCTGCCTCTGAATTCTTGAAGATTCTGCTAGAAGAACACAGCCTCAGCAGGTCTTGCCAAGCTGGAAAGGTCTGGAGCATCATCCCAGCAAAGACTTTGCTCTCTGAGGACCAGCCCAGCTAACCAGCACGGGGCGTGTCACCAGCAGGCTGGCTGCTAGGTGATGAATGATGTGACCAAAGTGACCCAGGATCTGTGTCCCATGTTTTCTCATATACCGAGCACAACAAGCTAATAGCCTTCCTTGCATTCTCCTGACATCAAAAGGATACTGAATGAATGCACAAACTATCCATCTGTTACTGATGGACAACCTGTATGTTATAATCTAGGCAAAACAGATTCTTGATTCATTTGGGTTTTTCTTTTGCACGGTTATGGGTGCAGGCTTAACCATGTCACTCCTCTGTTCAACAAAATGCCAGAGGTTCACTATTTCCTCTACAATAGATATAAACTTCTCTGTGTGGCTTTCAAAGACCCCCAAAATCTTGCCCCAAACTATCTTTCCAGGCTCATTAGATACTATGCTTTTCCTGAAGTTTATGGTCTGGACAAACTGGCCCTCTTGCCATTGTTTTCAGAAAGAATACTGCATCCTCTATCTCCAGGCCTTTATACTGACTCTGCCCCATGCCTGGAATGCAATCCCCTTTCACATCTACCTCCTCATAGAATACCTTGCTTCTTTTAAAATTCAGCTTATGTGCCACCTTCTACATTTCCAGATCCAGCCAACGGCCGCTGTCTCCCCCTCCCCACCCCCCAAATTACTTTGTATTTGTCTTGTCTATAATTGGAATACATTTATATGGGGTGTTCCAAAAGTCTTAGTGCAGTTTTAAGCTTTAAGAACATTGATTTAATCTAAGCTTGAAACTGCACTAAGACTTTTGGGACACCCTGTGTTTGGATGTCTCCCACAGTAGACTGAACATAAGCTCTCTGAGAGCAGGAACTGTTTCATTTTTGTCTTTGTTAACTCCAGCACCTATGGCATAGTCTTGCACACAGCAGTGACCTATAAATGATTACTGATTGGTTGGCAGATTGATCTCATTGAGTACACCCTATAGTGTGCTAAGGTTTATTGTGATCAGCACAATGTCACTGGTAAAAAGGAGAATTTGAAAAACCACCCATGGGTATTTCTTCTTGCATTTAGACTTGGTGCCGGACATCCTCTGTGGACTTAATACATATTCCTGGCACACGGCTAATTCCTGATTTCATGCCTTATTTGACATATCAGAGGATCACCGAGCAAAGACACTTCTGGTTGCAGGTAACAAGGAATCTTGTATGATGTGAGCTCTTTGAGGGTGGGAACTATATTCTATCTTTCTTTGTATCCTCAGTGCTGGCACATAGTAAGGGCTTAATTAATGCCTGCTGACTGGCTGATCCTAACATATGCATGGGAGATACCCGGTTGGAGATGAGTCTCTAAGGCTGTATCTGTTCTACCAAGGCAAATTCCTTTTTTTTTTTTTTTTGGTAATCAACAAATGATAAACACAGTGGGATTTCCTATTTTCTACCCCTCAGTAGCTGCAGGGTTCATTCTGTGGAGTTTAAAAAAAAAAAAAAGGTTAAGCGTAGGCTAAGTCAAAGACTGTTCTACTGAAAGGCAGTACCAATTTGAAGCATAAATAGATTAGAGAAAATTTTAGATAAATTCTTAGTCAGTAGATAAAATGAGGGACCATTAAGGATTCCTGGGGAGACATGTCCCTAACCTTGGAGGCTGAATCAGGGAGGATGACTGTCTCCAAAAGTCTTGTTAATTCCCCAGTAAAAGACAGGATATGGGGCTAATAAGCAAGGATAAGGGGAGGATAATTCTAATGTTCTTTAGGGAGATTATAAACAAACCATCATGATAGAGAACCCATTCATCAGACACTGTTGATCACTCTGAGAAACAGAGCATGAAATAGACCCACTGAGATTGGCCAGTCATTACTCTGCAGGCACAGGATGCCCATGTTCTGAAAACCATGTACTCTCCAGTTACCCAGAATCCTTGTACTTTCCTCTGTCCCTGCAACCTTGTGTTTCCTCACTTTTTCTTCTTCACTTCACTTCTCCACTTTTCACCAAGGCTGCTGGTTGACTTGCCATCCAGTCCTTATTTTGAATTGCCCTAGCTATATTTAAATCATAATCACAAGCTTTTAAGAGCAGTGACTTTTTGTTCATGTTTTCTACAAATCGTGGATCTGATGAGTTCAAAAGCAAAGGGAAAATGCTTCAATTTCAGTGGTCCAGAAAAGGGGACAAGATATTTATTGAATGCTGTCATTTTTGCCTATCCTTGTCATCTCGCTCACCTCTTGCTGGTGTGGTAGCAGATAGATCTTGCCTTCTTAGCTTACTTTTTGCTCTGACTCAAATTCATTTGCTTGTGAAACCAGAGAGAATCTGGGAAATGTCTTACCCTGAAAGACATAACTCTAGAGCAGAGGGCTTGTGATTTAAGTATAGTCTGAGCAACTGTGAATGAGAACTGATTGACTGGATGGAAGTCCAACCAGTAGTTTTGATGCTATGTAGAAGTGAAAAAAAACTCAAGGCTGCTGGGCTAGCCAGAAGATGATAAATCCCTCAAGCTAGATGGTCTCCTTTTATACTTCTAAGAAAAGGATTGTGGCTGAGGAAAAGCAGTGGCTTTCATGCCCTTGATAGTACAAGATTTGGGTCTTGTCTTTCAAGACCCAAATTAAATTCATCTCTTCCATGAAGCCTTTCTTTACAACTCTATGCTTTTTCTAAACTCTAATGGCAAATTTAATGACTTGATTCAGAACTTAAGTCTTTATGGTGAATGAAAAAATGAATGAGTGAATGAAAAAGCATTTTATTATATGCCAAATACCTACTTAGCTCTGGGGATACAAATACAAAAGCAAAGGCTATTCCTGCTATCCATGGTCTTATATTCTAAGAAGGGAAGATAATACACATAGGGAAGTGGTGGTTAGGAGGCAGCACTTTGTTTGCTGGTATGGTGGGTTTGGGCCACAGGGAAGTAGACTGAAATACTTTCCAAGGATATTTGAGAACTGGGGTAGGGAAGAACAAAGTTGGAGAGGGCTGCTGGGGAGGTGGTGCAGTGGTGGACCAGCTGAGGCAATCACCAATCTTGGGTCAATCCTGTCTCCTCAAATAGACTCTATGTTTCTTGAGAACAAGGCCCAACCTTATCTTTCCTTGCATCTTCCTAAAGCACTTAGCATAGTGATATAGTATTCACTTATTAATTTGTCAAACTGAATTACATTATTCACTTTAATAATCAGAATCTGTCCTTTTCGCTTTGAAGCTCTAGTCCTCACAACTGAATTTCATATTCTTCCTAGTCCTTTACAAAATATTCTAAAAGAAAAAAGTCAAAGCTGGATTAACGAGAACCATCTTCACCAGGATCCTCAAAGAAGGAGGTTTCTACCAGAGGAGTCGAGCTTAGACTCCTGGAGAAAAGAGGAACAACTGTGCCTTCAGCACTGGAGAGGCGAAAAAGAATAGAGCCCTGAGACAAACTGGACTTCCCTTTTCTACTACTGTAAGTTACATCAATCAATAAATGGCAAGCATTTGTTAAAGGCTTCCTATGCACCGGGCATTATGCTTTGCACTGGGAATACAAAGAAAGGCAAGAATAGTCCCTGCCCTCAAGGAGCCTACATTCCAATAGGGGAGATAACATACAATCAATAAGTATGTACAAGAAACATAGAGTAAACGGAAGACAACTTTAGAGAAGAAAGCTCTAATTGCTGAGAAAACTGAGAAAGGTCTCCTGTAGAAGGAGCTTTTGAGTCGTCTTGAAGGATGCAAGTTTGGGGGAGAGGAAGAGAAATGAGGTTAAGACTCTAGTACCATGAGTGGGCTCTCTTTTGGAGGAACTTTCAAGCACTATAAATTTGGAGAATTGTAAAAGTTTGTCTGGGATGTACTTTATTGGAAAGGGAAGGAGAGTGACTTTTAACTGTTTATGGGGATGAGTGGAGGTGATTTGGATCCTGCATTCCTTGGATCTGAAATAAATGTCTTATATTTGGAAAAAAACAAATAGAGGAAGATGACCTCCAGCTAAAGGGAAAATGGCAAAAGAAGTCAAAGTGGTGATGGGGAATTATTCAAGAAATCAACTACCAGGATGGGTATCCTGAGTCTAGCACATCCCCAGATCAATCTCCTACCTCTTCTCTACTTTTTTATCCAGGACTAAACAGTAAGACTATTGCTCAGAACGAGGCAGCATGTGGGTGATGGGCTGTATGCTAACTGACTGCTTAAGAAACTACCTCAGTAAAGTCCAATAACAACCTTCCCTCCATATTCTTCCTCTACCAAATACTTGTACTTTTTGCTTCGCTTGATCCTTTATGAATCATAAAGTGTCCTCTAGATGTGAACTATGAAGACGATGATCTCGGGCCTCGTAGGACCCTTATTCCACAAGTATCTTACTAAGGCAGGAAAACAAATTTCAGAAAGTGTGAAAGTATTTGTTTTTAACAATTAAAGCCAACTGAAAAGTTTTCTAGTTAACTCATTTACCCCAGAAATTCTTTGAACAAATCCTCCATCATCTTTTAGTATTTTGTGAAACTGAGGTTGTATTTTGCTTTGCATTCTTCTCTTTGAAGAACACATGGAGATTTGGGGACAATGAGTCCCATTTATTACTACAATATCAATCTCCTTAAAATAATGCTTTTATCATGCCATGGATCCCAGTTATTGTCTATTGAAGCAATTCCAAATTTCTTCCTGGCTCCCAAAGTTCTCTATAATCTGGCTCCATCCTCCCTAGCCAGTCTTTCCCACAATTCTCCTACATAGAACAGCTGCTCTGATCAGAGTGATTTCCTTGTTGCTTTTCATATCTATTATGTCCTCCTCTCCTGTCTTTGCTCATGCTGCTCCTTCTCTCAAAAATGATATTCCCTGGTTCCCCTACCTAACTAAATTCTACCCATCAATAACAGTCAAACTCAATCTTAATTCCTCTGTGAAGCGTTTCCAGCTTTTTTGGAAGTCCTGTAACACTTAGAATCTGAATCACATGATTCAGGTCTTTCGTTGTTGTTGTCATTGTTGGGTCATGTCTGACTCTTTGTGACACCATTTGGGGTTTTCTTGGCAAAAATACTGGAGAGGTCTGCCATTTTCTTCTCCAGCTCATTTTATGCATGAGAAAACTGAAGCAAAAAGGGTTAAGGGACTTGCCCAGAGTCACACAGCTAGTCAGTGTCTGAAGCCAGATTTAAACTCAGGAAGAGGCGTCTTCCTGATTCCAGGCCTGGCACTCTATTCACCGAACCACCTGGCTGCCCTGATTCAGGTCTTAATTGTTTTCTAATTATTCCATAGACAGATATCTTGTTTCCCTAATAGACCGTGAGGTAATCTGAAAACATAGACTAAGTCTTCTTAGTTGTAAACATCTATAGTAGAATTATAGAATGTTAGATTTAAAAGACACCCAACCTCTTTCCCAATATAGGAAACCTTTCTACAACATGCCTGAGTATGAGTACCTGAATATGTGTGTGTGTGTGTGTGTGTGTATACACAAATACATACATACATACATACACATACACACACACACACCTGAAATATGATGATCTAGTCTACATGTAGGGAGACAGCAAAAATTATTGTACACCAAAATATAGCAGTGAAATGAAAGGAATCATAAATTCAGAGCTGGAAGGTCCTAAGAGGACATCACGTCCAGCCCCCCTCATTTTACAGATGAAGATAATGAGGCTTAGAAAAAGTAAGTGACTAATCCAGAATCATACAGCTGGTAAATGTCTGAGGCAGGATCTGAACCCATGTCTTCTTGACCTTAAGTCAGGTGCTCTAGGCATCAATAAAACATTTGTTTTTAACAAATTAAAACACTCCCCCTATACAACTGGGATATAGTCTGGACTGATTTTGCCTCAGGGGCTTGAATTCCTAGTTATGGCTCTAGGTAGAGAGAGTATGATCTACATTGGTGGAGAAAGCGTCCAAAGTCCTACATGTTTGAAGTATGTCTAGATCAACCTGAGGAGCAGTTAGGTCACATTACGTGATTATATCACAATTAACTCTAACTCTGTTGTCAAATAATTTCTCCCACTTGCTGTAGTTGTACGAGGAAACTTTTAAAACTAAGTGCAAAGCTTTATGTGCACACTCATTAAATTTCATATCCAAGCTTGTCATGAGATCATGTTTAAGCATTTTTAAAAAATCTTTTTAAAAAATTATTTAGTATTTTTCCCCAGTTACATGTAAGAACAATTTTTAACATTTGTTTTTAAAACTTTGAGCTCCAAATTCTCTCCCTTCTTCCCTCCCCACCCCCCTCACTGAGAAGGCAAGCAATTTGGAATAGGTTTTTTAATCTTGATTCTGGTATCTGTTGTGGCAGTACTCAGCTTCATGTTATCTATAAAGTTTATGGACATTCTTATTTAAACATGTATGTAGTTATGCATGTATATATCTTATTTGAATATGTAGTTAGCTATGTATTGGAATACATAGTTAAACTGGATAAGGCCAAGGACAGAGGTTTATGGTATACAACTAAAATACTGATATCAATCCATCAATTAATCTATTTTGGTTTGGTTGTTCAATGAAATATTAATTCACCACATTCCACCACTGATATGAAGCCATATTTTTCCAACTTGTCTAGAAGGATCTCATGGGAAACCTTTCAAATGCCCTGATGGAATCCGTGGGCACTATTATGCATTTTGTTCTACCAGTCTAGTAATCCCATGAAACAGTGAAATTGTTTGGCATGATTTAATCTGAGTGAACCTATGCTGGCTGGGAGTGATCAGCACTTTCTTTTTACATGCCCACAAACCAACTGCCTAATAATAGAACAGAAGAGAATTTCTTCCAGAATTTTTCCGGGACCTTGAGAGCAGGGACTATTTTTTGCCTTTCTTTTTAACCTTCAGTGCTTGGCACAATGCCTGGTGCACAGCAGACACTCAATAAATGCTTGTTGACTTGACCAGAGATTAATGTCAAGCTTCCTGTAGTTTTGTGAGTCCAGCCTTTGTCCCTTTCTTAAAAATGGGAAAACCTTTGCCCTTCTTCAGTGTTCTAAACTGCCTTATTCTCCATGATTTTTCAAAGGCTGTTGACAATAGTACCATGTTCACACCTTCAAATTCTTTTAACCTCCTGGGATGTAATTATCTTTGCCTGGAACTGGAAATTTGCTGTTTATTATTTCATCGCTTACCTTGGGCCTTAATTTTCTCTTAACCATGTTTCTTCTACCCTTCATTTTTAGAGCCACTCATGCCTCATCAGCCCTTTAACATTTATTGATCAATGGAAACAAAATAAGGGTTGTGTAATCTTTTTCATATCTATGTGATATCACCTAGTATCACTAAATCATTTTCCCTAAGCAAAAAACTCCAAAAGAACTTGATTGAAGTCTATCAAACAAACAGGAATTCTGGGGAAAAAAAGTAGCTGAATTCTCTTAGTCACCAGTTGTTTGCTAAGAGTTACCTATTTTCCCCTAAAATAACTGGTTGCTTGTCTATTTAAAAAGGGAGGGGAGGGGCTTAAAGTTCATTTTAAAGTGTTTTGGAAAAACAATAGTATTTGGTTACACAACCTGTTATTGACTAAATTCAACTCCCCAACCCTGCCAATACCCCATGGCATGATGGAATACAGCTAGTGGCCCTTCCCGCCCCTCCCACCGCCAAACAACTGGTTTGTGTAAGTAGACACAGCTCAAGCAGTCTCACAGAAAGGAATTTTTTGGCTCATAGAGACTATACCTTTTCAAAACACGTTGGTAGTTTTGAGAACTAGTAATTTGAATTTCTAAACAAACTTTCGAGGCAAAAATTGGAAAAGTAGTTTTAGGTAAGGTCCAGCTAGGAGGTCTGTTGAAACTTTATAAGAAACATTCTCCCTTATGCTTCCCTAAAAAAAAAAAATGGGATAGAGTATGACCAAAAATTTTTCTCTGACCTTGACAGAAATTGGGAAGGAAGGGGGGGAGGGGGAAAAAGAAAGAAGGAAAGAATGAAAGAAAGGAAGGCAGGATGGAGGAGGAGATGAAAGAAGGGAGGGAGGGAGGGATGAAAGAAGGGAGGGAGAGATGGAGGAAGAAATGAAAGATTGGAAAGAGGGAGAGAGGAAGGAAAGAAAGAAGGGAGGAAGGAAAGGAGGGAGGGATGGATGGAGGAAGAGATGAAAGAAGAGAAGGAGGGAGGGAGGAAAGGAAGAAAGAAAGGAAGGAGAAATTGAGGAAAAGGTAAAAGAAGGAAAGGAGGGAGGGAAGAAGGAAAGAAGGAAGAGAGGAATGAAAGGAGGGAGGAAAGACAGAATAAAGGGAGGGAGAAAGGTATTCAAGGCAGCAAAACAGAGTCTTTTTGGAAGTTTCTCCTCCTTGAAAGCAGTTGGGAATCTCTCCCCAGAGCTAGTCGGAGGACTTCTGGTTAAGCTCCCTGTAGAGAAGGGCTACATCCTCTCATCCCTCTCAAACGTGAAGGGAGGAGGCCAGTT